TGGAAAAAGTTATATTGATTTGAAAATGAGTTAAAATCTTAAGTTGAGAAGAAATTTGCTATGTGTTGCTTTATTATTTTAATAAAAGTGAAACTTCTGCAAAAATATACCCAAAAAAAATTATTGTGGCTAACGGTGAGGATACTAAAGTGGTAATGCCTTATTCCGTCTCAAAGAAGTTCCTTCATTCTGGTGGGTCATTCACTTAAAAAGCCGATGAAATATTGTATATAAACACAAAAGTGATATAAATATAAAGCTTAATGTACCGGCAGATTACTAAATTTTTATGTCATATTTAACTTATTAATTATAATAACTTTCACTTTCTAACAACATAATTATTACCTTTTATTAATATTCCCTATTTTCATTGGCATTACTTTTATATACACAAGGACATAAATTTTGACATGATATTAAATAAAGTAGTAAGCACAGATTTTATTGCTTCATATTTCCATTACTACTTTAATCGTTCCTCTTACACTTTGTGTTCTTGGCAAAAGTTCCTTTGATAGCCTCCTGTATATTTTTATTAGATATTTTATTGCAATGAATTCCTTCCTTTGTATCCACTCTTTGCGTGATAATAAACAATGAAGACACTGACAATTTTCGGATGCCAGTCACGTGACAGTTGCGGAAGGAATTTGGTGGAGATATTTTTTCCTTTGCTTTTTGGATTGTGTGTATATATTTGTGATTAAAAAGGATCTAAGTTACTTGTTGTCATTGTCCTTGCTCTTGGTTATATTTTTAGAATTAATTGGTGTGAAGCAATTGATTAATGAAAGCGTAGCGTTTGCATTTCAAGGGTTTATTCAATTACCAACTTTGTGCAAACTTTTAAGGAACTCTTTTATATATTTCTAGTAACAATGGATTTTATTTTGCAATACCTATTGGCAAAATACTTGAAATGAAAGTTTTATTTTAACTTTTCAAGTGATTCATATGTTTTGTATTCAGAGTTTATAGATATTTTTGTTTGTTTCAATACAATTGTTTCTTACATTTTTGTTGTTTTAAGTAATTCTCTAAAAAATATTTAAAACATTTACAATTATTGACCTTAGCTGTAACTAAAAAATTTTCAAAGTTTGATTTTAATTTTTTTTTTTAAATTTTATAAGAATTGCCAAGCTATACTTATTTTATAGAAAGCATTTTTTTATATAAAAAAAATTTGTCAATAATTTTTTTAAATTTAAGTGAAGCATATTTAAATGTATTAAAAAGTTGAGAATAGTTATCTATTACATATTAATAAATTTAAATAAAAAAAACGATGATTTTAACTATATTTTAGTCTATATTTCACGTTTTATTATAATATAGCCACATTATAAGATGAGATTTCTATTTCCTTTTTACACGTATTTGACAATATATAGTAAATTTCAATATTTTAAGCAACTTCTTTACTACTTCATATGACTATGTAGTTTACTTTTGAATTGTCGATTTCGAAGTTTATGATTGCAAACTTTTTACGTTGAATGGACTAATAAGAACTAATAATTGCAATAATGTAATAATGATAATAAGAACTAATAAAACATTATCTAAAGCCAACTGGTGTGTGCAATATTGTTGTAACGACAAGTAGTTCCGCCATATGTAATGATATCTCGAAAACTAACGTAGAGCCCAGTGGATAATGTTGCTCGAAATTGGCGTTTTTTTAGATACATTGTGAAATTTATGTCAATGGGAAATGAGAATCGTGACATTTATTCATTATTTGAAGAAATGTACTGAAATATCTTCTTAAACAATTGAAGAAATTGAACATCATACTGTGTTTACGCTCATCGCATATATATGCATCCAAATCCACTGGCTACACACCTGATAGGGTACACCAACACTTTTTCAAGGGTAAAAAGAAAAACATCGATAGACGTTTTAAATATGTATATGTAGGTCATACACTTCTATTTTAATTATATATGGATATGTCACTGGACATAGTCCATACGTGCCTTTCTTTTCTAGATCGTAATAACTATTATTACGATTCATGTTAATATATATTACTTATTTTCATTCATACCTGACAGATTGTAATAAAATAAATGGATTAAAAAAAGTACTGTGATTAAATTTATTGCAAATAAAGGGAATAAAGGTTTAAAAGTTTTAAATATTGAAGATGTAGCAGTTTCTTTTAAAATAATAATTCATAAGTGGGCTGTTTTCAAACTTTTAAAATAAGTTTTAAAGTTTCCATATGAAATACGTCCAAAAAATGCATGAATACCAAAAAATAACGCAGAAATAAATAAACATAGGTTTACAATATCGATATTTAACTAAGACTGATAGTTTTAGAAACATTATTTTAAGTAAGGTGGCGATATTTTATGTAAAATTTTGGGTTTCAAAAACCTATTTCGTATTCGTCCAAAAATTCATTCAAATAAGAGCTAATCAACAACATCGGTAGTGTTTTAAAAGGTATAAAGAAAAGTGAATCAAAACAATGAGTTCCAAAGCGAGTATCAGTCCAAAAATCAGTTAAGTTGTTATCATTAGTTTTTGTGATTGATTTTTGCATGAGTTTTTGTTAATAGATTATGTTCAAGATCGTGATATAATATACCCACATTATTATTTCACCCTTCTCTACCTATGCGAGACAAATATTCGTCAAAAAGGACAGAGCTTACATAACAAAAAATAAAGATAATAAATCATCTTAACCAACTTGAAAACACTTCCATAAATTAATGAATCAAAGCAGTAACTGTTTATTTTCACTCTTCAGGGCATTTTTTATAAAAACCAAGTTCTATCCAACAGTAATGCTGGTACGATGGTATTGTTTTGCTGACTTTTCTTAAAACTACTGCAGAGAAGAAATTCATTCATTAAAGGAAGGTTACATTAAGTAAATTTAACTGAAATTTATTAAATCTCGTGGTTTTAAGGTAATTTTATGCAAGTTTCGTATTTGATTAAAAATAATTTAAAATTTTTATACTGTTTAAAATCATTTTTAAAATAATTATGCTGTTATTGTGCAGTCATGATAATGCATTATAATTTGAACAAAAATAAATTTTATTTTCACGGAATAAAAAGCATCTCATTTTAATTGCATTAAAAATTTTGTAGCTGAAATTGAAACTGAAAGGCATTTAATCTCATTTAACATTAAAACGTGAGTATGAATTGCATTTTTATACCTTTCATTTGTGGTCATAAAAAAGATTTAGTGCAGTCAATCAAATATGTAAGGCCTTTTGCTTTCATAATAAAAACTGTTTCAATTTTAATAGTTAAGAGAATTGCACTGATCAATTAACTAAAGAAAGAGTTTACTGGAAAAATAATAATCGTACTTAAGGCAAGATTTGTGTCTGCTAATAATTCGTTATATATTTGTATATTGTCTCGTATACACCAAAGTAAGATACATGAAAGTTTAAGTTTTTTAAATTTTAAATTATGGATGTAATCCTCAATATGATAATTAATGTATTTTCATTCGATATTTCCTTCCATATTAGCAATTGGTTTTATCAGTTTCGGCAATTTTGTCATTTTCCAATTGCCTACAAATTGTTCACCTTTGTCTCATTTTTCACTTTAAATTTTACAGAGTGACCATCAACAGCATCGTCCACATCAACAGCAGCAACAATCACAGCTTCAACAACAACCACAACAAACCGGACAACAACAACAGCAGCATCCTAATGCAGAACTAAGTGACTCATTGTCATCATTGCCTCAAGCGTCCTTCAACTACATCAATTCAATTGTTGGTAGTGGAGTGATTGGCATTCCGTACGCCTTTCATCGTGCAGGTTTTGGCTTGGGACTGTTGCTTCTCATATTAGTTGCCTACATCACCGACTATTCACTTATACTAATGGTATGTATGAAAATCCTTATATGCACCTAGAATAGCAATCCCAGCAAGCCACTTATATTCGAATTTTTGAGATTTTTATCAATCTCAAAAGCAACTACCATACATATACCTATTCAAATTTACATATATGGTCGATTGTCATGTGCCATTATTGTAGTAAACTTAATGGATAAAATTCAAATTTAGTACATAATTTAAAATTTGTTAATCGTGGTTGAAAATTTATTCATACAATATAATGGATTAGCTCATACGCATAAATTACATTTAAAGCACTGCATACGCACCAAATACTTAAGTCTTTCTGGTAGTGGAGAAAGTATAGTTGAAAGTTGTGTTGGAAATGTATAAGATTTTCTTCCGATAAAATTTGATAATATATTCGGTTTCAAAATTCTATTAACGTAAGAAAAAATTTTTTGTAATTTTCTTTTTAATTTATAACTATGTCTAAATTGAAGATAAAAGAGTTCTTCAATGCATATCCATAATTATAATTTCAGGTGAGATGTGGTCATATATGCGGTCGCTTCAGTTATCCAGGCATAATGGAGGCAGCCTATGGAAAGTATGGTTATTATTTGTTGTCATTGCTGCAGTTTATGTATCCATTTTTAGGTAGGTATAAAACCAATATAAATATACACATATAATGTTTTGGTATTGATAATATATATTTTATAATGAATACTGTATTTATTTGATACCAATCTCATGTTTATGATATAGCACAATAATATGTTGTAAATAATATGTACTAATTGTAATAGTGACAAGCAAATATTACTGTTCTTTTAAAGATATTTAAATGTATATATATAGTATGTATGTGCACATGTATTTTAAACCCAAGAAAACTAGCAAGGAGCGAAGGTAGAGAATTACAATAGATTTAATAATAGCAATATTATATCAAGACTATTAAAATAAACAATAAACAATAATTATTTTAAAATTCATTTAATGGTCCTGAGGTTTTGTTCTCAATTTTTAGCTTACACTTATTATGTACTATTAAATTTAAAGCGTTGTGTAAGGAAACAACTCATAAATAACTATCAAAGTTCAATGTGGTCCATTGTAAAATTTAATCATTTTAATTATATATGTAAGCACCAATAACAAAAAGATATTAAATAAATAATTTCATACATATTATGTATTAGTGAACTTCACATTGAATTAAATTTCTGCAAATTTATGAAAGGCATTTAATGTCCTTTTTATAATTAAGTCTCTGATCCGGAACATCGATTATATGTATCATTTCAAGAGTTAATCATTGTTGGTAATTTGGTTTACTGTTTATGGTCTATGCTCCATTGCAATTTGATGTACTATTCATTGTTGCACAGTGAGTGATTTTTTTTTGATTCTCATAAGCTGAAGGGGTTTTTATATCATTACCAGTGATACTTGTTCTTGTATACATTGGACCTATTTCCTTTACATAAGAACAGGTGTATTAAATTGTGATTATTCAATTTATAAATTATTGTTTTTGTTTATTTCAAAAAGTATGCAGATGTATTTTTAGGTTTAAGAGTTAATCAACGCGATTATCTATAATAACAGATAGAATTTTTGATGTTTTCGGAGCAACTGAAAATGTATGCCATTAGGATTTATATGATGATGATTTTTACACGCTTTTTTAGTAAGCAATAGATAGTCTTTTTAGCATAGTTGTTCTAGAACAGAATATCAATAGAAGTTTTTTTATTTTCATATTAAAAAAATTAATCACTGATGTCAAATATAAGTTCAAACAAGTGTAGAACTGAGGTCTAAACAAGATGGCAACGATGTTGGGATTTAAAATTATTGCATCTATTGGTTCTGAGTTTTCGTCACAATTTTCTTTTTATTTTTTATTGTATACAATACGTATTGCATTAAGATAACCTAGTGTGACAAATTTCTTTTTTTGTGGTGAATTTAATGAATTTACATATATTTTCTGTATACTATCAATAGTATCCATTATATCATACTACATTACATAAATATTGATAAATATCACATTTTATTAATTATAAAAATGTAAATAATAAAATTTCGAATAATAATAAAAAAGTTTAGTAAAACATTTACTTTGCTATTTAAGTTATGAGCCGATCTTAGCTGACATCAGTAGTTTCCGCTAGTGAACCCAACACATTTCTACCTGAAGTACTTTCTTCCACTCGCACGACTTGACCAAAATGGTAAAGCTGTAAAATTTTTATGCTTTGAACTAGGTCAATGTCGCGATATAGCTCATACAATTCATCATTCCATCTAATTCGATACTCGTTGCCAACTCGTAAGTGGCCCTAGATCTTCCAAGGCCTTAATTGGAAAACTTTAAGAAGTTTTTTGAAAGCTTCGTTGCCAACTCGTAAGGGCCCCTAGATCTTCCAAGGCTTTAGTTGGAAAACTTTAAGAAGCTTTTAAAAAGCTTTAGAAAAGGTTTTATTTCTCAATTGTCTACTTAGGCCTTTTCGACGTTTACGCTGGTTCCCAAATAAACAAAGTCGTTCGTTACTTCAAATTTATAGTTGCCAATAGTGTCGTGGATCCCAAGACGCTCATGATATTTGCTTGTTGACGGAATGTACTTTGTCTTGTCCTCACTTATAACCAAATCCATTTGATTCGTTTGTTTTTCTAAGTTGGAAAGCTTCAATTAGTTTTCTATAAAACTTCTATAATGCAAGTTCGATACGCTAACTCTATTTTTAATTAAATACAGTCAAACTTCCACAATTTGAACTGCTATAACTTGAATTTTTTATAACTCGAACTAAATAGAGTGCAAGAGGGTTTAGAGAGTAAATTACATATAATTACAAAAAAATTCTTTGACTCGAAGTCTCCATTAATCCAACCTTTTCATTGCAAAATAGTACTTCGAGTTATGGAAGTTTGACTGTATATATAAATGACTCAACATTTTGAACACAGAATGGATTCTCTACTCCCTTCATTCGCCTTCTGTGTGACACTATTCATTAGTAAAATTCACTAGTGAATAGTATCAGTTAATTGATGATAGATAGATAAGTTCCAATTAAAAATAACTCCTTGTATTTGCCATAATGTTCACATTAAACTTTAAGAGTATATATTGTTAAAACCCTGAAGTTACTTTTAAGGCATTGCAAAATACAATTTCAAGAAATTTTATTTTAAAATTTGTATATAAAACGAATCGATAAAGCAATATTTCTAGAAACTAAAAATACCATTGGCCATAAAATTATTTTGGGGTATGTAAATTTTTGGTTTAACTTGAGTACATTTAGGCATTTAATAATTGCTGCTTTCCCCCCTAACAATTATGAAATCGTCACTTAGTGTAATTAGCAAGATTTCCCTATATTCGAGGACGATAGTTATTAAGTCCAAAAGTGTAGTTAGCGCATGTTTATGCAGTTTTGTATTGTAGTGCAGTGTAAAAATCAAGGCTCCCTCGTAAGTTAACTAAATTAAATGTTTTCGTGAAAAACACATTTGCTTACCGGAAGCAATTATGTGTTTACTTGCTTTAGTACATAAAAAAGGAGCTAAGATTTTTAAATTCCCTTAATGGGTTGTTCCTACACGAAACAATAAAGTTATAATTATTTCTGTTTTTTTTTTGTTTTTTGTGTTGTGTGATGTGTGTGTGCATATGTGTGAATGTGTGACTAATTACACAAGATTCATTATTAAATGTGTTTTTCCAAAAACTTGGTTGGTAAACTTGCCCGAAAGTTTGCAGTCACTGAGTATAAAATTTCTGTTGTTGTCTAAACGTATATTTTATAATCAGACTTCCTTTAATAAAATTTAAGTTTCTTCTTCATTTATATTTCAGCCATGATATCGTACAATGTGGTCGTCGGTGATACGCTATCTAAAGTGCTAGTGCGATTTTTTCCCTCGTGGGGCACATCAATGGGTGCCGTTCGACTGGGTGTGGTGTTCTTCGTAACGATTGGTGTGGTGGTACCGCTTTGCTTGTACAAGAACGTTTCGCGTCTGGCCAGAGCGAGTTTTATTAGCTTAGCATGTGTGGTCTTTATACTGTTTGCCGTGATTTTGAAGCTTATGTCAGGTGATTACAAAGTGTAAGTATCCAATGGATTTCATTTTGCACTACACACATTTATCCCCCAACAGCCAAACAATCAAACATCCAAACAAACAAACAAACAAATGCAGTTGCCGTGCCATAAGGCGCACAATTTAGTATTTAACGAGGCATTTTCACAAATTAAACAGTAAATGCCATTAATTATAAGGTCCTTTTTTGCGCTAAGCTCTTATGTGCTTGGTGCTTGTTAAGTGCATGTGTATATGTTTAGCTGCTAGCAAATCGCTGTAACACCGCTCGCAGGCATTATCGGAACCACATTGCCTCGTTTTGTTGGAAATTTCATTTTAAATATACGCAATTAAGTTTTATCGCTTATGCCAATTTAAATGAGCCGATTTAAAATTATTTCCCTTTACATTACAATTTTGTTTCATATATTTTATATACATTATTTATTTTGAAATTTTTATTATAAAAATTAGATAAATGCAAATTATTAATAATTTAAGGTAAAACGTTTTTAATGAAATTAGCAAAACAGTAGTTCAATTATTGGCACGTTTCGTTCTCCGGGTGTGCTATAAATAACATTTTAATTGTCCTAAAAAGCAGTACTCCAATAAATTAATGTTGGTTTCAGTAGGAATCTATAAGTGCTAGTACTTTAATTACTGAAATAATAGTAATTCCATAGAAAAGCTGTGACTGTAAGTCATTAATATTTTGTTACAATTCAAGTGTTACTACAACCTCACTTTCCCAAATTATTGCTATAAATTACCAACTTCGATTAGGTCACCATCAAGGATGTTTTTAAATATTAATGCAGAATGTTACTACAGCAAGCATTTCGAATAAGAGACGACAATTACAAATTTTTTATGGGCTCATAAAAAAAACAAGACTCACCTGAGTATGTAGTTGAAGGTGAAATACTGAGAAATTCATATTGGAAAATGAAGAATTTTTTTTCGAAAGAAATTTGTAATATATATACCTATTACATATTTAATAATGATGAAAAAAGATTCATATTAATAAAAAGTTTTCATACTGTAACAAAAAACTTGAAATGAGCTGTAAAATGCAACTTATTAAGTGGCTTACCCTTTTAAAGAATTTCAACTTTTCGATTTTAATGTTTTTATTCATTAAAATAAAAATAAAAATAAAAATAAAAAAATATCTGAAATTTTAATCATTTTATAAAGGAGCGCAAATCGCTTCTGTGTAGCCAATATATTTTTGCGCGCTGCAATAAAAGTTTATCCTTTAATCCACAACAATGTTGCAGTTGCCAAAAAGCACCAATGCAGCGCAAATCAACGTGGAACCGTGAAATTTAGTGCTGCTCTCGTTTGCATTTACAACATTTTATTACCGCACCCTTGAGATGTAAAAGGTTATTGTTGCTCACTTACCCTGTCTTATAGACCAAACAAGGAACTGTTGCTTTTATTACTGCCAATTTTTTGCGCTTCTTTAAGGAAAAACTCAACAAAAAAAATAAAAAAAAATGCGGTAGAAAAACAGATGTTGTCGGTTAATTTAGCTGCGGTGAAGCGAGGGAGCTGTAAAACGGCACTTAAAATGTAACACAATTTACGCTATATATAGCTTTATAACGTATACGGTGTACCAGCGTTGTTATACACACTTAACAATAACAAACGGCAGCAGACTTACAATAAGGACGCATCTTCATATTCAGCAGGATTCGCATAATTTATAAATAATTTTCAAATTTGCATTCCTTTCCATGCAAGTGAGGAAAGCACTCTTTAAGGAATTCGCAAACGCTTTAGCAGACAGAACACATTTTAACATTTAGTGTTGAAGTAAATTGTTACTTTGAAAAATTGCAATAATAAAAATCAGTTTAGCATATTTATATACATAATTTGTATCTAAAGAATAAAAGAATAAAAAATTTCAATTTTTTGCGAACATAAAAAGTTATTGTCCTCATGCATTCCAAATAAAACTGATAATCTCTTTTTTGTAACAGAACTGATACAGCGGATTCCTGGAGATTTGCAAATGTCGATGTTATTCCCGCAACGGGTATAATGGTTTTTGGTAAGTAGCAATCAATTATGTATATGGAGTAGATATGTATAATAAAAAATAATATAAGAAAATTAATTTTTATGTATATTTTTTTGAAAGTCCTCTAAGATATGTGAATAAGTAGCAATCTTAATAGTCGATATCCCTAAAATTTTACAAGATACCTAAAAATTGTTTAAAGGTTTTGAATTGAAGCAATATTTTAATATAAAAAGTTATTTTTAATTAAAAAAATTTTGAGACTGG